AAGGGGTAAAGAAAAATTATGTGTCGGGGAAATAAATACTACGATTGAACTTTGGACCTCGAAGCATTAAATTAATCCTATGGAAGTAATAGACGAGTTTAATGAAGTAGCATGGCGTTATTATGTCTCAAGAAATAAATATTACAAATTGTCGGGCGTTGGACCTCGAAGGATAGAAACGTTGATTAAAATTATAATATATGTCGTACGTACATTTTGCCACAGTTCGGCGTCAGCTTGCATCCGAGGAGGAGGACTGGACATTCAACAAGGTTAGAGCAAACATTTTATTTGTACTTTAATTTTCTTTATTTTTTATATTTTGCATGTTTTATTTATTTTTTAATTAATTACTTTTTATTTTTTGTTACATGGTGTGGTGATGGGAGGGGGATGTGGTGTAGGCTGTATGTGGTTAACTGAGGCGGTGAGGTAGTGAGGTGGATGTGAGGCGGAGGCGGGGGCTACCCAGGTCTGGCCTTTCTTATCTACTTCAGTCCGTTCTCTCGTTGACCACTGCCAACAAATACCATCTGGGGCGGGCTGACTTCTGGCCGGGGAGGAGTGGATGCAGCCCGTGAGGGTTGGCCTGTGAATCCCCGTTGACACCCGTTACCCATAGGGGAGAGCCTGACCACCTCTCACCCTGAATTCACCCATGTGGAGAAGGGTATCTGAGAACGAACAGCTTCAATCCGAGGTGTATGCCGGGCGGTCACACAACCTCGCGTTCGTCCTCGAGATGACTGATCGGGATGGGCGATCAATTCGTTCGACGCCTGAACGACCATCTCATCTCTTTTTATCCACCCAGAGGAGCCATACCCCATTCAATGTGGTACAGTATGGCCAAGGCGGGGGTTGCAACCTGAAAAGGTTAGCCTCGTCACTTCCCTTTATCAAACCACGTCCTACGGCATATTTCCGTGAGCCCTCTCCCAACCCTTGGATGCAAGGGGGGTATCCAGGCACAACATAATGGTGTAGCCTTGGGAGTGTGGCAACCTCTCTAAAGCACAAGCTAGATTCGTGTCGGCCTCCGGGTCGCAGTGGACGGCGGGTTCTTCATCAAAGGCACACGAGGGTTACGGTACCAGATCCTGTCTGCATAGACGGGGGAGGATGCATAACCATCTGAACTACGGGGTATCAGAAAATGTTCCAAGTCCAAACTCTGCTACATGGGAATGGACTCGTAGTGACTTAGTGGCGATGCTCCTGGCGAGAACTTAGTGTGAACCTGTTGCTCGGGGGTACCGTTACCGGTTTCCTTCCGAGGGCAGTGTTCCTCTAGGGGGTGGTTAGACATTCCACTTTAAACAAAAATGCGGCTAGAGCGGATCCGGAAGTTCTTACCCTGGAGGAGCCCCAAATAGTCTGGGAGATAGAGTCGCCTTGGGATGGGGCGGGAGTTCGGCGGGACGACCCACGCTGATGCGTTTCAGGCACCTTGGGTTTCCCTTTGCTGAGCAGCACACTGTCTGGTTCTTAATGCAGCCCCATCCACTCGGAATGGACAAACGAAGAATGAGGTCCATCTCGGCTTCCACACCAAAACTTGCTGCTGTAACACCCATCCAGTCGCGAGCGGAGGTGACATTTCTTCTTGGGAATCAAAACGCCTGGTAGGGCCGAAAGGTACGGACATTAAAGATCCTCATGTCCTTTTAAGGGTTCAGAGTAAATTCGGAAAGAATAACCACTGCCAACAAATCCAACCTTGAGTCATCCAGGGTGTAGCATAAAACTACGTTTTTAAACAATAGTTAAAATAACAATATCTAAACCTCAAAATTTTGTCAATCACCCCATCTTTGCTCTTACTTGTTCAGCTATTTACCAAATCCCAAAGCCTGGTTAAGCGATCGTACATTAAACTTTTTTGCTTGTCTGTCTTGGAAAAAGTTCCGATTGAACCAACGATTTTAAATAATTATTTTTTGAAGAAGCTGCATTTTTGGCAGGTTGATATGCCACAGAACGATTCAGGTCCGAGGAGTCCGGAATGAACTTCTCTTTGTGAATTTATCTACCCACCAGACCATTGAGAACCAACTTAATTAGAAACTTCTTCGAAAATCCACCGAACAGTCGAGATTTAGGTTTTATTAGAAGTGACCATCCCGATCTTTTAGTGGCCGGGGTCGTGTAGTGGCACTTAGGAAAAGCCGGTGATTTTTGTGGAGCTATTTATGAACGCCATGGACTCTCGGGCAGGCGACAACCACAAGCCCCGTTGGTTGCCCGATCTCATGATAATCCTCAGGCGGGAATGTTGAGGAAGCCGGTGCTGTTGTAAAGTCAGTTGTCAAGTGATATAATTGCGAGTGTGAGCTGTTAAGAAGACCTTATTACTTGTGTCTTCTGATGCCTGCTTCTCAAAACACTCCCAGTTATCATTGATCTTTTAGTGGCCGGGTTCGTGTAGTGGCCTTGAAAAGGTGCTGTTGAGCGCCATGAACTCTCGGGCTGGCGACAACTGCGAGCTGTCGTGTCAATACGATCTGTTGTCGGGGTTTTTTTTTTTGGATTCTGACTGCTCCATTAGTGAATGTTTGTCGTCGAGTCTGATTTAAGGCGGTTGAGCCTTTGCTTAAATAGAGTGGTTCCGCATAATCTGCTGTTTAACAGGCGGATACATTATTGAAGTAGTCATGAGGACTAGTGTAAACTTTAGTTATCCATAGGCAGTAACCAAGTTCGGTGTTTGACTCTTCTGACGAATCGAATATGTATTTGTAAAAGAGTTTACTTCCTACAAAAGCTGCCAGTGTTAGTTTATAGTAGTAGATGGTTGTTCGAACATGAGCAGCCGGTTCCAAATCATCTCGATTTTTTAGTAACCGTGGTCGACGCTATGAATCTAAATCGACCTCACTTTTTCCCTTTTTCGAACTGCCTTTTGGTTTTCCTGTTCTGTAACGTCTTACGTCTTCAATAAAATTTTCTACTGGAGACGACAAACTTTTCAGTCGCAATCTCGAGGAAATCTTACGCTTTCATTCCTAGTTTTACTTTTTTTCTCCAGTTCAGTTCAGAGTTTGCGTTTTAGCGTACTTCTTTCCACCGTCTTTTTTCATTTTCGTATCCAAACTTTTTGTGTGTGTGTGTGTGTGTGTGCTGTGTGAAATGCCGAAGAGACATTTGATCTTTGACAAAATGAAGTTCATGGCAAAGCCAAGCACCGGTCCAGCGACGCCAGAAGTTTCAAATTTATGCGCTTTTTCGATTAGAAATTTTTCCCCCGTTTATGTCAATTATTTTAGGAAATATTTAGGCGTTACTCTCAACTTCGAGAGGCATTTCAACTACTAAATCAAATTCTTCGACATCCGGTTCATCATATACATAGAAGAGAAATGGCACTACTTTGAGGATCTGAACTGTCCTTGTGATATGTTACTCAGTGTTGATAATGATAACATAATCATGGACATCAAGTTCTTATTGAAGCCGTTCAAAATTCAACAGGAAGAAGAGGAAGATTACATGGCGGGTGAATTTTAATGGGCTATATATTAATAAAAATTTGATCATCGTTTTCCGAAAGTTTTTTGGTACTTAGGTACCATTTATTCCCTTCTAGACTTAGGAATTTGATTTTTTTAACACATATTTATTTTGTTTACAAATTTAGAATACAATTTTGAACGGTCAATTTTTCCATATATTTCACTGGGCCTAGTGAACCAACATGATTGGTAATTGTTTCAAACCTGAATATCGGAGATAATACCTAAGATTGGCTGGTGTTTTCGAGTAGACCGGCGAATCTCAATTTCGGCTAACTATTTCACATTTCTCATGTTTGACTGTAAACATTTTTTGGGGAGGCGTCGGTGGCCGCAACGGTTTGGGCGTTGACACGGCGCTCATCACTGTAAGGTCCCGGGTTCGAATCCAGCGGCCCTGCATTCGAACCGAACATACAAATGGACTTTTTTTCAAAAACACCGGCACCCCGAGGGGTGATATGACCTCTGCTGTTGCGAACCCTCGTAAAAAAAATTAAATTAAATTTAAAAAAAAAAAACAGTTTTAACAGTGTTAAAAATTTTATAAAATGGATTATCCTTTTTTTTGTATTCTAAGCCTTTTGTAATTGGTCCAAATAAAGAATGGTTACTATTGTGGGCTAAAATTAATATGATTTTGATTTTTTTTTTTTATTGTTTACATAGAGACTTCTGGTTTCAACCAAGTAAAAATATGTTAAAAATAATTATTTCAACTTAGTTCAAAAATGTTGATATCGATTAGTTGAACGCGTTGAATAATACAAATCGCATGTATCGTGTACATTAGTAGAAAGTGTGAAAAATTTCAATTTTTGATTTGTTGATTAACTTATGAATCCAGTGTCGACAAAGTTGAACAAAAATCACTCTTTCGAGCTTTTACCATCTACAGCCGATTTTCCTTGACTTCAAAACCTGTCTATAGATATTAAAAATTTGTGAAAATATTAATTGGCTAAAAATAAAATTTATTTTCGCTGCTTAATTGTGCCTATCATACTTTTTTTTCAATTTATTGGTGGTCTCGGCTATTCGACGAATTTTTTTACTGGAATAGAAATTTGTTAACTATAAATCGCCTCCTAAAAACGGCCAATTCCATAAAATAATCTTCCCAATTCGGCCAAATCATCCTACTCTGTGAAATGTCTCATATTTCGCTTATAAACCAGGAAAAAATTTTACCCAAAAAAAATCCATAATATTTTTGTATTAAGACCCTAAAAGCTTTGAAAGAATGACACCATGGAATTACCTGAAAAGTGACAGGCATTTAGAAATAAAAACAGTTAATTTTTTATAAGCTAATTTATTGACAATGTTCTGACTGATTGAAAATGTAAACAATGAAAAGTCAGTTAATTTTCTTTTTTTTTTTTTTTTTTTTTTTTAATTTGTACAATACAGCTTCAAATCCAATTTTCAAGCTGTTTGAAATAAATATTTTACTGATATAATAACTTGTGTCTTTCTGTGTTACAGGGGAAAGGAAAGCAACATTCAAGAGCATCGCACATGTCCTAACAATTGAAGAAAATGTATTACAGAGCGGTCACCTGAACGAGTCAATGCACTAATGTTGTGCTGGAGCGAATTTATGAAATCTGCTCTAGTTTTCGGTATATCAACTTTTATATTTGAATAAATAGAAAAATGCACAGCTCCTTTGTAAAACTTTCAAGGAATATATCAAGACTTTTAAACTATTATTATTACTTTACAAATTTAACAAACGTCAACATTTATTTTATTGGTCAAGCGGACCACGAAATTAGTGAATTTATTTTATGTATCAGCTCATAAAATTCATGTTTGAAACCATAACTTTCAATGTTTTAAGTACATTTGCATACAGCTTGAAGGAACTGAGTGTTTTCTTGCCTTTCAAATTTGCCTTATATCTGATTTTTAATATAAAATTGTAATAGTCAAGGCTGATTATCAATTATATCAAGATAAACAATAAAAGCTGACAATGAGTAACACAGTTAATAATAGATAATAGGTTTTAAAGGAGGCATCAGGGACTGCAACGATTTAGGCATTTAGGCATTAGAACCTGACATACTTTTGTTGTTGTTGTTTTGTGTGTGTGTGTGTGTGTGTGTGTGTGTGCGCGTGCGCGTGCGTGTGTGTGTGCGTGTGTGTGTGTGTGTATGCGTGTATGTGTGCGTGCGTGCGTGTGTGTGTGTGTGTGTGTGCGTGTGTGTGCGCGCGCGTGTGTGTGTGTGTGTGTGTGTGTGTGTGCGCGCGTGTGTCTGTGTGTGTGTGTCTGTGTCTGTGGGTGTTTTCAAAAACACCTACATGCTGAAAACATAAACCCTAAACAATAAATAAAAAAGCCATTATGGTCCCGTATGAAGCCTTAAATAATTAAATCATAAAACAAATACCAAAGGTTATAATATCTTAGTATTAAAATAATCCTCAAAAGTTCCGAATTGACTTGATTTTTTTTTTTTTTTTAACTACTTCAGCAATTTATAGTATGTAGACGTAGATGTGAAGAGGTCCGAAATGTGTGTTGAAGATTTCCTTTTTCTGACCCTTAATAAAAATAAAGGACACAAATATCCTATCAAACACCCTAACCACACCTACTGTCTATATCTTACTTTCTGGAGGAAACCATGGACATGTTGAACATGTTGAAGATTTAGTTGAGACGATACTTCTAAGAAATAATAGCGAGAAATAGACAGTCAAGTAATTTCAGTCTCACTTTTGAATTGTTTAAATCCTCCTACTATTAGAAATTTTGCAAATGGTTATAATCAACATAATAATTAACAACATTAGTGGGATGAGTGCCATTCCTTGGCTCCATATAAAGAGCACTTAAGAATGCCATCCGATATGAGAATTGTGCTTTAGAACAGCAACAAGTATCTGGGTCCCCTGACTGATTTTTGGAGGAAACAGGATTGTTTTATTGTATATATTACTGATTTGTGTCCCCGAGTGTGTGTTGAGAGTGAATGTATTTATTAGTTTGAATGGATAGTGTGATAGGGTTGATGGCAGAATATGAATACCCCATCGACCCTCAATTAGATTAGTTATATAACATATGTGGAGGGTGATGGAGGAATATCAAGAATGTAAATAAGAAAGAATTTATTTAAGAGTGAATGAGAAAGTGAGTGGTTTTTGATTTAGGAATTTATTGCATTGGAGGCTGAGCCTAGATGTTGGCAGCCTCTGGACCCCAACCTCAGTATCTGGATTAGACCCAGGTATGGGGTTCCAGACTACCTTAGGATGGGATTCTCGAGGCTTGTCAGTAATTTCAGCAACAAAAGTTGGAATTTCTGGCAAGAAGTGGTAGGCTCAACTTGCAGATTTACGCTTATATAAATTGATAATCAGTAATTATTGCTAACATATAATAATAAAATCAAGTGAATAAATAATATCATTTATAACAAAATCAACAAAGGAAAAGTTAAGCTCGACATTTTCATGAAGCTTGACTTGTTGCGCCTTTTTTTGCATATTAAGGTTCTTGCAAGGGAATTTCCTTATATATTTTTCTACTATAATGGTTTTTCAGTACAAAATTAAAATTTGCATGTCGTCATACCTCGGGATAAGCACAGCAGGTTTTACATATATGTAAATTACATACACAGATGCCTCATGTAAAATGGTAAATAATTTAAATTGACTTAAGATTTTATTAAATTTAGTTTCACGATAAAGAAAATGTTTTTCTGAAACCTACATCACACCAGACTGCATCTCACGATTGCTAAATAAATATCGATTAACGGTCACTAATCACCACACAATGATAATAATAAAGAATCAATTTAAATGTATTTAGTAAATTAGCATCTCCCTTGTATTTTGCTAATATGTGAAGAATTTGTGCTTCACTTTTAATTGACTATTGTAAAAAGAATTGAATTTATATTGAAATTTTGCACAGGTTTCTGCATTAACTGTTACTCATTTACAACTTTTATCTTCTGTAAAATTGTTAGAATATATACAAAATGTTTCTTATTTTTTTTTTTTTTCAGGTTGAAGGTGCACTAACATGTGTGAGGTTCCTGATATATTTGATACAAAGTAAATAAGAGCTGGTTGATAGATGGCATCCGCCCTATTGCACATGAGTTGCACACAATTGAAAAATGAAAGTGTCATCGGTAATATGGAATCTGATTCGTACGATGCAGCATATTCAGAACTTGGGAGAACCAAAAGGGACCATGACACTGATGACATGGATAGATGTCAAGTGAAGAAAAGGAGAAAACAGTCTAAACCGATACGGATAGCATCTACTGAATCGCTCCCTTATATCGAAGTGAAATCGACAACATGGACAGGATTGAACCAGCAGCCAAACCAAAACCCAAGTCCACCAGAAACTATGAATGAAGACTACTTAAAATTAAATGAAAATGACCATTTGAGTTTAGGAATTGAAAATAAATCTAGTACAAGAAATGAAAGCGATGCTGAGGGTAGTAATGAAGATAATTGTCTCGAATCGTTCAACCATGAGATAAAGAGAGAGTTTGTCTATCCATTAAATTTATCTCATACAAAGTCTCCATCCCCTAAAGATTCAATCGACTCGTTTGTTGGTGAAGAAAGAAACTGGTACAAAGCCCCAGAGGGATCACCGTTGTACCCATTGCATCCTCTGGACCCAACTTCCTTACGTAATCAAGTTTATCAAAACAATATTCTTATTCCGTCTCAAGCACCTGGCCTTGTATTACCCAATTTTAAGAGGATTTTTGTTGGAAACAACGAAACTCAGATAAGTTCACCACATCGTATTTTTAATCCTGAAGCTTTTTGTGATCTCTGTAACAAAGAATTTTGTAATAAATATTTTTTGAAAACACATAAAGCAAACAAACACGGCATTTACATGGAAAATGTAAGCTCGAATAATGTCGACAATATACCATCATTACCGATGATAAACTATTTTTCAAATAACATTACAAACTCGAACAATTTGCCAATGATAAATTATTTCTCGAATAATATTTCTGGAAAAAAGCCAACGACTCCCTTCCCTACGACATCCACCAGTAAAACAAATAGCAGCAGTATGAGGGCGTTTTGTAACATCTGCCAACGTGAATTTTGTAACAAATATTTTGTACGCCGGCACAAAGCAAAAATTCATGGAATAATTGAAACAACCGATGAGTCACAAGAATACAAACCACAAATGGCGATGACTGAAAAAAATGAAATCGTAAATGAAGCAGGCTTACCTGGACCTTCAGCAGCTAGTTCAAAACCGAATGTCAATAACAAAGAACATCAGCCTAACAAAGATGTAAATGAAGTTTTTGTGGAAGAGGAGAAAGAAAGAATAAAAAAAGAACAACAGGAGAACGACACAGAAATGCCACCAGACAGCCCACAAAATGCACTAAACATATTAGTGTCGACTTGGCAGAGTGAAGAGAGTAAAGAAAGTGCAAAATCTCCAGACCGAGACCGAAATAAAAAACCTCAAATTTCCATGGGAAACAGCGCTTTCTGTGATATTTGTTGCAAGGAATATTGCAACAAATACTTTCTTCGTGTGCACAAACAAAAATTTCACGGTATTACAGTTCCTGAGAAAGATGACAGAGTGAAAGAGACAAACAATATGTTTTGGAAATCAAACCAACCAATGCCACTTAATTTGATCTTAAGAGAAAATAATAAGAGTCAACCTGAAAATGAAGGGGTTTTTTCATGCAATATTTGTAATATATCATTTCCTGAGCCGTACCTTCTGAAAATGCATTCAACACAAGTTCATGGGCAAAATAAACCGCAAGAAGTACTTCAACCTCAGTTTCAAAACACTTTTATCCCGATTGATCAAAAAGTAACTAAAACCAATATTGACACATCGCCCCAAACTTCGGCAGATTTGACAACCAAAAACAACAACCATGCCGACCCTATATTAGACAATGGAAAATCTTTAAGTGGAGATGTACAAAAATTGCATTCAATGATAATGAAATTGAACCAACACACCCAGTTAGATGTACTTACATGTGACATATGTAACAAAGAATTTGGGCGAACATCTTCTCTTGAGAATCACATTATTAAAGAACACGCTGTACTTTTGGAAGAAATCAGTAATGGATTTTATGAAGAAAACATGAATGCCCAAGTGAATGCGAATAAGTTCGATTGTCCAAAATGTACAAAATATTTTCCAACATTGAGTTTGCTCGAACACCATCTCGGAGAGAAACACGGGATATATGAACCTAAAATAAACATGAGGAATGGGGAGGAAAGTCAAGATGTGAGTCCTCCGATGGTAATACAAGGTGAACGCCAAATTGTGCACACTCCAACAAGTAGTTTCTGTGAAATTTGTAAAAAAGAGTTGTGCAACAAGTATTTTATGAAAACACATATGCAAAGGATGCACGGGATATCAATTGAAAATGGTGCACATATTGGAGGAGTAGTTTGTGATATATGTAACAAAGAGCTTTGTAGTAAGTACTTTTTACGAGTACATAAACAAAATTCACATGGAATTGTCGAGGAAGCCTTCCTTCCACAAATTGGATCCGAGGTCAAATCTCAAATTGCAAATACTGATACTGCATTGAAACCATCCGAAAATGAACTGACGCATAGGTATTTCAGTCACTTCACTGAAGTTTGTACGATTTGTAGTAGGAGATTCCGTAGCGTCAAATGGCTCAAGACGCATTTGTTGAACGACCACGGAGAAGAAGGGAAAGACAAATGGAGGGAAGTACAACTCCAAAATGGAAATAAACCTCTTGACAAATTTACACCAGACTCCAAAAAGATTCCTGACACAGCATTTTACACTAATAACTTTAGAAATTGTGTTTCAGATGAACCGAGTACGTCATATCAGTCAAACGAATCCTTCAATATATTAAACAAAAACCCTTCTACAAAACAATACCAATGTTCTTACTGTTCTTTTTCCACATCAGTACTAGCATTATTATTTGTTCATGAAAGGGCGCATTTTCCAAATTCAATAGAAAATCAGGAGTTGAGATGTCACCTCTGTATGGCCAATTACGATTCACAGGATGCACTGGAACTCCACATAAACACTCATCATTCTGTCAACAATACTCCAAACAAACTATTAGACGATAATCCAAATTTCAATCCTCAAAATCTGATATGTGAACCACCAATCGATAATGCTGACAAGGACAACATTGTGGGAAATGACAATAATTTTACTGAAATTTCCGATTCTAAGCTTTTCATTAGAACATTAGGTGAAGCTTGCTTGAAATGCCCAAAATGCCCATATGTTACTCCTCATTTAGAAACATATATCGATCACATTAAAAAAGAGCATAAGGTCGATGATATAAGCAAAAATTATTTTCAAATTGTTAGGGATGCTTTGTTGCAAATTGCTAATAACTCACTTGTTCCTGCCTCGTTTGCCATTCCAAATAATTTAGGAAATTTTATAATGCAACCATTTGTCATTGAAGATAAAGGAATTGGAACGAATAACCCGAGTACTTTTCTTTCATCGTTAGTTTTTCTTCCTGTTAAAGAAAGACTCAATAAACCAGTTACTGCATCCTTCAAACTAACGCCTACGTAGTCTTGAGAATGGCATGCAATCTTTTAAGAGGCCTTCCTTCCGATCAATGCTGTCTGGTAAAAAAAAAATAGACTATCAACTCGTACAGAGGTATTCAGTCAAAAAAATATCTTAACAAATTTTGAAAATACTAGTCTTTTATGTGATATTCAATTATCTAGTCTTCGGTAAAAACATCTGTGATTTATTTATCTTTATTTAATTTCTATGATCTGAAAAGCACATGAAATATTAATTTCTATAACTATTTAAGGGAAACAAAGAATAATTTATATATTTATCTTTATTTAATTTTTTTTTCTTTCACTTCATCATTCCATGTCGGATTAATTAAATCCATTCGTTTTAATTTCTTTTTATAGAGAAAAATGGTATAGAAAGGTGAGACGACAGACAGCTATTGTGGCAAGGATCTCGTTCGATGTTCCTATTTTGTTTATAAATAATTGATAAGGGAAAGAATATATTAGTAATATTAGTGGAATAGAGGAGCTACTACTGTGATGTTCCTGAGTTAAAATATGAAGGGAAGGATTTGGCTCTGCAGTAATATATAAAAAAATATATACATTGATATATATTATGATTTTTATAGGCAATGCATATGAATTTGAATAGCATTTAGCTGGCTAATTACTTGGTTGTGCAACATGAATGTTGTGTAAATAGTTAATAAATTTAAAAAGAAAGAAATATACAATTAAATTGTCTTTAACGGAAATAAGAGAATGAAAATGGCTTACTGTGTTTTTTTTTTAAACAAATTTATAACAAGGAGAAAATATATTATATAGATACTATCATGTTGCCCAAACCAAATTGGTTATGCCTTCAAGATTGGTTAATCCACAGTTGAATGCAACCTCATTAAAAGACTGAATCCTTTTTAGTGATTCATTAAAGGTTCAAAGTAAGTGTGGAGATGATGAATGGTTAATAGTTGCAATTAGATTCATTGGTGATATTTACAAAAGTTCCTATTGAGCCTTGATACTCTAAGAGCATAATTTGTGTCATTTAAAGGACCTGTAATATTTTCTGCTCAAATGTACAATTGAAAGTTTCTTACTGGACTTCATTTGAAACAATAGTCCTTACCGTCTCAGGGTTTCACATTCAGTACAATAGTTTATAATAGTTGATTCTTAGAAGAAATGACCTTCTTTATATAGACTTGTTCCATTGCTAGAATTATTTTTCATAAAATAAACTTAAATATCATAGACATTACTGAAAAGGTTAAAACAATTTGGTTTTTCCTTCAAACATTTCAATAGAATATTCAAAATTTAACTAAATTGAGAAATGTTTGGTGCATAAATGGTATAAAATGTATATAAAATTAATTTAATTATTTAAACAAAAAAATTTCATATTGAAATGTTAAAAGGACTACCATAGAAAATATATCTGGGTTTGCTATTTGAAATTATTAAATAATTTAAATCTATAAGTTTTCTGGTATGTATTTATAAGAGAAAAAAGTACAATTTGCAATAAAAAAAAATTAATTTTTGTTATCAGAGTAATAGTGTTTGAATTTGCATTATAAAAAAATGTATCTGCATTATAAATTGTCGTGCAGTATGATCCAATCAATACATTTGACTGTAATTAAATTTAAACACTATAAAAAGTATTAGACGGTTTTAGAAGTTTTTATGATGGTTGTAACACCATTTAAGGGTAGGTTTTTATAATAAGAATTTTTTATATGATCCAATTTAAATGGGAGAATAGTCGTCTACGATTTATCATGTAGGCATCTATCTCCTCTCAACTACATTCAGGGATTATATCTGTACAAAATACATAATGGTCCATACTGTTCATATGTTATGATTATTTTATTAATGGATTTAAAAAAAAAAATAAATATATTATTAGCTATATCATTGTACAAACAAATGTCATTTGTCCCAAAGGTGTGCCAGACATTATATACAAATTAGACCAATTGAATGTTTCTGATTACATACAAATTAAAATGAAATACAAGTGAGGATATAGTTCCTAACTTATGCTAGAATTATTGTTAAATTGTACTAACTGAGTTTTACATAACGACAATACAAAAATAAATACAAAATAGTTAAGAATTTTAAGAAAATGTTAATAAAACATATTGACAAAAGATAAATAATGAACACTAAGGTATTGTTATAAAATTGTATTCTCTTAATGCATCTTTACTGCCTTACTACCTCTTGTTATTCTATCTTGTGATGACAAAGTGTGATTTCGTAATCAAAATAATGTGTTGCTTTTAATTTAGAAACTCTAAATTTTATTTAATGTTTTTTCTAAGCTGCAAACATTTTTATTTCTATTGACTCTTGTGAAAGATAAAAGTATAAATTTAAAAAAATTTATTTATTATAGGGAAACAAGTAAATAAACTAAAGGAAACTCGCAGTAACTCGCTCAAAGTACTATTGGAAAATATTTTAAAACTAAAATGTTTAGCATTCAAAAGTCAATGTTATTTTTAAACTAAGTAATTTTATAGGTTTTATAAATATTTTCTTGACAAATTATATAAATTTTGATAACACAAAAATTTATTTTAAAGACAGTTAATGAATTAATTCCAACAGCTTTCAGTTTGGATTGGACAATTTACAAAACAGACCTTTTTAAACATTGTTATTGTTAATTAATTATTATTGTATGCTGAATCAAACAATAACTTAAATCAAAATTTTTGTTCTCAGGTATTAGACATTAGGAATGATTTAAAATCATCATTTCTATTAAATGTAAATATATTTTTTGTTTTATGTTGCACAAATCAAAATCAGATGTTGTATAAATAATAATAAAAGATTTAATGGAAGTTATTAGTTTTTCGTAGTATAATTGGTTAACTTGAATTTTAGGCATAAAATATGATTTAACCTACATAGTTAAAGAAAACTTTGTGTATATGTGAAGTTTTGAATGCTTGATGTATTTAAAATTAATTATACTTTTAGGATTAGTTAGTACATTTGTACACTTATTTATTTTTCTCAATGCGGGTATTATATTAGATTGAAATATAAAGGTTTTTGTGCCATTGTTATATTTATTGATTTCTAATTTTTTATGTGCAGAAACAACCTATACGATGATTTTGATCATTTATAGAATGAAAGAGATGTTATACATAGTATTTTATATAAAAAAAAGCATATTTTAAATACCATCATTATGTTCTCTTGACAGTTTGGGGAAATTATTTAATTTTAATCTTAAAAAGACTATTAGCTATATGTATTTATTCATGTTTTATATAGCCTTATGTGTATTTGTGATTTTTGAAAAAAGATTTTGTTGTTTGTTTGTGTGTTAATTTTCATTTTGTATTGTGTGTCTCGAATAGCCCTTTTATAAAAAAAAAAGGTCTATAATTTATTTTTTTTATTATTCCCCCAAATTTTTCTAGTTCAGCCTTTGTTTTATTTATTTATTAAAAAAAAAAAATAATACGCCTCAAGTTCAATTGAAACACATTGAACGAAAACAGTACAAAACAATTAATGTCAGTGGTAGATACATGATATAGAATAAATAAAAAAAATGATGTTGCCTTAATCTACTCTGAGAGGTTGTGGCTAGAAAAAAAGATTAGTTTTTATTGTAGGAATATTCTTCACTTTAGATGTCAAACTTGGACAAAGATATCGTTCCTAACATGCTGCAAATTTATTTAATATTTTTAATAGAAACTGAATGGGTACAAATAAAAAACAACACAAAATAAATTAAACAATACAATACTAAAAATTTATTTACAAATACCTGTATTATATTAATTTAATAAAAAATATATATTGTAATATAAATTCCTTATTTGTAGTTATTTTGGTGTAATAAATGTTTGATTATCGTTAAGATGTAAAATGTGTTAAAATAATATTGTGTTTATTAAAATTATTTTATTCCTTTAAACTGCTAAATTTGGCTTGTCAAAATAATAAATAGCTCAAAAGAATAAAAAAATCTGTGACAAAAACATCCAGACAGACTGCAGTCACAATAAACATTGCAAAAGGTTTTACTTCTACATTAATCATAACACTGCCAATATGCATAAATCATACTGAGCAACTTTGAATTGTTTTTAATGCTTTGTTATGTATTTTTAATCTTCAGAAGGTGTCCTCCATCAATTACGAAGCTGATGTATCCTTTATTTTTAAACCACTGTGCAAAACTCTTCAAAATTTGTATTATTTGCCATTGTTTAGCTTTTATTAATTATATTTTTAAAAAATCACAATTAACACTGATGTAAAAAATTCCAATCATTTTTAAATATTATTATTTTTATTTTATTTTATGTGTAAATACTTTTCAAATTCTTTGTATGCATTGTTTTTGAGCGCAGTGGATGCAAAGATTTATTTTTATCATGTTATTGAAAGTTTAAAAAAATGATGTAGGAACCTTATAAAAATAAGAAGAACCAAGTAATAATGCTGAAGTATATTTTGGTGCTTTAACTAAGTATTATACAGTTCTAGTTCCTATATAGCATAAGTTGTTAAATATATCAACATTATCAAAATAACATACAAGATTATAATATTACAAAGTAAATGAAATTTATAAAAGTACTCAAAGGCACATGGAACACATATTTTTATGTAAAAAAATGTCTAACCATCAAGCAGTTCATTCTCATACAAAACGAAGCATTGAGTCATTATTGACTAGATATATTTTGAATACTAGTTGCTGAATTTAACCACATTTGTAATACATGTGTACATAATAATATATAAATATTTATTTATTGTTTGTAACAATGTATAACTAAAATGGGTAAAGGTTAATATAAAATATTTCTCACAGAAATGCTCTAAAAGAAGTATTGGATGTACGATTAATAAATAAATACGCCTGTTTTCCTGATGCTAATGTACCTGGTTTAAGAAATGTAGGTAACTGTTGTTGTATCTTATAATTCCCAATGTTAACTTATGGATATCAACATTAGCATTTATATAAGCAGATTTATATAAATATATATAAAAATTAGAACATTAATTGTATTATTATATATTTATTACTTCATTTATTAAGTCCGAGCCAATGGGTAAATGAAAATCAAAAATAATGGTTCCTAATTTTAAGCATAAATTGGATTTTGTGTATGTGTGTGTGTGTGTGCCTTTAATTATCATGGTTAGTAATAAAACACATTCCCTGGCGAAACCTTTTTTTTA